TGTATTCGCAGAGCGTAGCCCCCTTCGAAGTGGGGCAGTGCCAGTTTCCCCCAGCGCCACAAAACCCCCTGCGTGGCCCCAACCCCTCTCTGCGTTAGCGGGCGAGGCATTGACTCGAACAGACACGGAGGAACTTCAGTCCCTTAGTGACTTGCTGACCTTGCCAGGGAGGCAGGAAGGATGTGAACATTTCCGGATTTTTTTAAAAGAAATATATATATACACATATATATATATATAGACGACAACAAACTTTTTATCCTGTATAACTTATTCCGGAGTTGTCTCCAAACATCAGCGTGTCTCAGGCTCCGAGTTTCAATCTGAACATCAATTTCCAGCCCAGTTGTTGAAACGTGGAGGTTTAATGGGCCGCACTGAATCTTTAAGGGACCTTGAAACAGGGATGCAGCTGGAATATTTAAAATTGGTTTCTTCATGATAGATTCTATTTATTAGAGCCAATAGATCACAGCTCCTCGGTCTCTCCCACACACGGCAGACACACACGCATACACTCTCTCTCTCTCTCTTTCTCTCCTGGCTTCCTCCAGCTCCAGTTAATTAAGCAAGATTACAGTTCAAGGATTACTGAAAAGATTTATTCAGTCTGGGCTGCGATAAATTATATTTATGTTGTGTTTACAAAGCACTTACACGACAAAGCAGTCAAAGTAATGTTGGCTTGTATCTTCAGACCAAACATGTGTACTTAAAGCATCTTTGTGAGACGCCGGAGTATATCCTTTAAGGTAGTAATAATAATAATAATAATCCTCGCATTTGATATGGCGCCTTATCACGTCTTTCGAGACGTCTCAAAGCGCTTCACAGAATGCACTGACAAGTGAATTGACTGTGTGTTTTGTGGGCGAAACGCGGCAGCCAATTGCGCACAGCAGCGTCCCCACAAACAACTGCACCACAACAACAACAAGATTCCATTTATAGAGCGCCTTTCACGTCGGGAGGACCTCCCAAGGCGCTGTACAGTTGGGTCAGGACCCGAGCATTGGGGGTGATGGTCAGGGTGAGGGGAGGGAAGGGAGGGAGCGAGGAGGGCTAATGTCCGTGCGTCTGCTACACACGCAGTCAGGCACAGGCTCCCTGCTAATTATTTGATAGAACTGATGTGTGCGGGCGGGTGTTTACTGTGAGCGGGCGTTTATTGAGTGCTATTGTGAATGGGTGTTCATGTGAGTGGGTGATCACTGTGAGCGGGTGTGGGTGTGCTTACTGTCACTGGGTGTTTGTCATTGTTTGTAGGTGTTTATCATGTGCAAGTAGGTTTTATGTTATCAAGTTGAAGGTGGAGCAAATGCCACCTGACTATACAAAGGAGTAGCGAGGGGTGAGAGCTTAATCACAACGCCAACAGTAATTATGGAAACGAGATTAATTACAAACAAATGCCGATATTCAAAACCACAATCCCTATCTCGCCAAACCTGAAACTAATTACTCTCCCGGTCGGAGAAACAGATTAACGAATCAGGCCGATTAGCATGTGAAAGCCGGCATAATTATGGCCAGAAACTGGACTCCCTTTGTCGTGAAATTAACCATCGCCCTAACCTAAAGGAATTGTACCCCACGCGCCACCGCAAACTCAGCTGTTCGCAGCCTGCAACAAACCTGGCGGAGCATGACACCGGGCCGGGGAGGGGAGGAGGTGACTGTAGGCGCGGTCGAAGAAGAAGGTCTTCAGGCGGGGACCTGAAGATGGGGAAGGAAAGGGGGCAAGCCGGAAGGATTGAGGGAGAGTGTTCCAGAGTTTCGGGGGCGTAATGGCTGGAAGTGCTGCCGCTGATGGTGGAAAGGAGGGCACGAGGGACAAGCAGAAGGCAGTCGTTAAACCCCGGTGAGCTTAAATTGGAGCGAGCGAGAGCGCGGGCGGCGGGGGGGGACGAGAGAAGGCTGCGGGGTGTCGGGAGTTCAAAGCTCGTCGCAGGCAGTCACTTTCATGTAAAATGATGAGAGAGCAAAGCCACGCTCTGTAAGGAGGGATGCTCACTCTGTGCATGACACACCACGCCGAGGCCTACAACTCCTCCGATCAATAACCTTGACAAGCTTGCCCCGAGCCCAGCAATCAATGCTCTAAACGCTTAGAGTTACAAGTGCTGCGCCTACTTATCCTTGGCGTGCGGAGATGGGGGAAGAGAAAAGCTGGATCCATTTCATGTGAAGTTTCGCTGCTTCACGGTAATTATTGTTAAGCGTAGTGACTGCTTTTTTTGATGGCAAATCGAGCCACCGTTATCGTACAGAAAGGTGCCGCATTCTACGAACGTTTCGCCCACAAAGTACACAGTGAATGCGCTCTACGTTAAATCATGTGAAACACTTTGAGGCCTCTCGATGACATGATAAGGCGCGTCATCAAAAATGCAAGGATTATTATGAGTGAGCAATTTATCTTTGCTGGGCTTCAGGACTCAGCCTGGTTCAAGGAATTAGAGAAAGGTTTAGGGGAAAGAAAAGGCAGGAGGAGTATGGTATTAAGAGAGCCAGCACAGGTACGGTAGCTAAATAGCCTCTTTCAGTCCTAACTATTTCTATGGTTCTGTAGTCATGCAAAGACTTAATGTTGAAACAGTGAACGCAGATTAGAGTCCTGGAATATTAGCCCAAGTCTCGTTGAGACGTTCAAACACACACAACCTCTGACCCACATAATGCAATTAATTAACAGCGACCGCGGGAAGTAGGTTCATTTCAGCTTTCAGTGATGTTCGCGGGAGTCAAGAATCAAAGGGAAATGTAATTAGGGAAAGCAGAGAGAGGAGAAGTTAACCAGGGAGACCAGGCCGGCAAATAACTGGGGCTAATTTTGCGACATCTCATAATTATCGCATCTAACCTGCTTTGAAACGCTGCAAATTTCACCCGGAGTGTGGGTGTCAGCCTGGCTCAGTCGGTAGTGTTCTCGCCTCTGATTCAGAAGGTCGTGGAGTCCTGTAACTCAGTGGTTAGAGCGCTCGCCTCGCAAGCGAGAGACCTGGGTTCGATTCCCGGGCAGGGCGAAACGATGGCTCAGTTTCCTTACTCCACCCGCCCGATAATAAGCCCTCAAGAAGAAACAAAGAATAATAATTTGGTCACTTCAATCCACGACTGTTTGTGGGGAGGCTGCTGTGCGCAAACGGCTGCTGCATTTCGCCCACAAAATATACAGTCAATTCACTTTACAATATCTTCTGTGAAGCGCTTTGAGACGTCTCAAAGACGTGGTAAGGCGCAATATCACAGGCAAGGATTGTTATTATTAATGTTATTATTATTATCTCCTCGTTGATTTCTCTCAAAGCGCTTCACAGGATATGCCTTCAAGTGGATTTGACTGTATTTTAGTGAGCAAAACGGTGCTCAGAATCCAAGTAACACAAAGCTCCCTGTTCATTTTATTCAACTTTTCCTTGTGGCAAGTCCTGGGGTTTGACACCAACTCAGTATCAGAGAGGAACTTGCGCACCATAGGCCATGAGCTGCACAAAGGGAGGTGGTAGACTACCATAGGTTTCTCCTGTCAAGAAAACACTTTGCTCAGACATAAGTACAGGCAACGATGTCTATCAAGCATTTAATTTAAGACTAAATATAGGTTCCTGAGTAGACACCTGCTGCACGGAGCACTAATTCACAATGCTTCGAGATAAAAGGCAGCCTTGCAAAGCACTCCTCACCCTTTCTTATCTTCCAATTTGATTCATACAATAAAAAATAAGTGAACTAACGGCTCCCATGTTAATGAATTGTGCTCGGGAATTGTGTCAACGCTTTTGTTTGATAAGGAATAATAATGTGGTAGTTAATGAGTCAGACGGATGTCTTCGTTGAACCGCTTTTTCGGCTTCAAGTCCGGTGCAAATCGGCGCTTGAGGAAGTTTTTATTTGGTGTTTTAGTTCAATGCCAATGACGTCGTGTGTCTGGTGTCTGACTCAGTGGAAACAGTGGGCGTCTGAGGTAATGGCACAGATCCTTACATTTGATTTACTGTCTTTCACATCTCAGGGCCTCGGTTTAATGCTGCCAGAAACCAGAGGGTACATCGACACTCATCCACACCTTATTGGAGCTACGTAACCTGCCATAATATAATACCAGCAGGTCACCCCAGCCCCACGATGCCGTTGAACCCATGACCTCAACTCAGGTTTGTACTTTGTTCCGGATGGAAAACACGATAGTACAAATAGCAGCAATAAACCTTCAGCAAATACAAATCGGCCTTTGAGGAACAGTAGCAGTGAACGTATATTCCGGTCACTCTCCCTCTCCCACACACACACACACACACGCAACGAGGAGAAGCTCTGCTCTGCATCTCGCCAGCTCCGACCCGCAATCCCACCAAGTCCTTCTCACTGAGGACGTTTTGCTTGTAACCAAATTAACCGCTACAAGGAACAATTTGGGGGAAAATTCTACCTTCTCCGGACATACACGCGCGAACCCACATCGAGTTGGCTTCTTTCCAAATGACTGCAACGGTTATTCTTGTCCGGTCAAGCTTCTGTATCAAGGGCGCTGTGTAAAATCTACCATCTCCGCGAATACGTGTGTGGACCCTGTTAATTAAAATCCCGTGGAAAACACACCCACCGATTCGGTCTGCGCCATTGCAATCGCATCAGAATTAGACTGGAAGCGTGACTCCTTGATGAGAAAGGGCTCGAGGCCCTTAACACTGACTGCATGGGTGGCGGAGCTGAGCAAGACAGTCATCAACAACAACAACAACGAATTACATTTATATAGCGCCTTTCAGGTCGGAAGGACGTCCCCCAAGGCGAATGTCTCAGTCGAGTAGAACACGTCCAATGCAGGAGCACAGAGACAATTACCCTTCAACCCAAATGGATTGGAGCACCTGAAATCTTCATTCCTCCTTCATTCCTCCTCAATCCCCACCCCCCCACCAACACCCCAACCCACCCACCTCCCACCCCCACCCCATACCTCTTCCGGTGTCCTGGCTTAGGCAGGACAACCCTACCTGGGGGAGAGAGGTGCCTCCATGTGACGACAGGTTCCGGGCGTCCGATGGCGAGGCAGAGTAGGGTCACATTGCTTCCCTCGTTCACAGAGATGCTGTTGGAGATATTGACGATCTGGGGCGGCACTAACAGGGGTCAAAAGAGAGAGAAAAAGACACGAGGATTAACGTTCCCGTTCGGTTCGGATAGGCCAGTCCCTCCGTTCGTCAGCCGGGCGCCACCTTGGTAGGATCTGCCTTTGTCCTGAAATAATAATTTATTCGCATTTGTCAGAGATTAGTAATATCATTTCATCTCACAGCTTCTCAGACAAATGGAAGTCTTTAAAACCTAATTAGATTCTGCCGCACGTACAGCCTTTTTATCTTGAACTGTAGAAATACCATCAAATCTGCAGCACCTTAATCTTTATTTACAGTCCAATCGCGAAGGAATATCAAAGTTTTCGGACGCAATCTCTGTGGGGTGCGGGGGGAAGTTCCGCCAGATTTATTCCAGTTTTGCAGCGTTTTTGGCAAATTGCTGAATTTATTCTGAACTTTGAAGTTGTTCTTCTGGTTTTTTTTTCTTAAGAGAAACGTCAAGAAAAGCGGCTTCGAAATCAAGATTAAATTTAAGAATTCGCCAAAACATTCTGAAATAATAATAATCGCGTATCGTTATTATGTTCTGAAATAATAATAATAATTATATATTGTTATTATACTCTGAAATAATAATCCTTGTGTTTGATATAGCGCCTTATCACACGGTTGAGACGTCAAAGAGTGCATCAAAGAATATGTTGTAAAATGGATTGACTGTGTATTTCGTGGGTAAAACTAACGCTAAGTTTAAGCAAACACGAAAGAAATAGAGTAAATCTACGAGTGGGTGCAATTTCTTCCCATTGTATGAATCCAATCTGTTCGTGAACTCTCCCTCTCCCTCCCCGATGAATTTGAAACCTCAGTTGATCTATTCAACGAGGAAAGGAAGTCGTCGCTTTATTTGGCTTCTGCAGTGTATTAAGATTTCATCCCCAGTCTGCGCGCAAACGACAGTGACACCGAACAGAATGAACAGCAGATAATAGTCAATTATTTGTTGAGTTCAATGGATAACACCGCCGCCTGCCAACGATGTTCGTGCTTGCTGGTGTGCTGCAGCACCTCTCTATTGTGAATGGTGGGTGAGGAGATGTTTTCAGGCTCTCTCTATTACTCCCACCTCATTTCATACCACCAGCCATCCACAGCTATGGTGGCTATTTTTAGCCGGAGCTGCTAAAAGGCACCAGCTTATTCAGACGTGCTGCACTTCGCAGGCGCTGGAGTGGGCCCCGCGATCCCACCGTTACAAATCTCAGACCGCTCGAAATTGTTGGGACGTTCTTCGGACCAGGCTTCAATTTTGGGAGCCATCCGAGAATGTTCCCGCGCAAGGCAGGCACGTGGCTCTGCACTTAGAGCGCCCGCCTCGCAAGCGAGGGGACCCGGGTTTGTTTCCCGAGCGGGGCAAAACCTTAGGCAAGTTTCCTTGCTCGTCTCTGTTAACCTAGCAGCGAGCAGGAACCCGGTTGCTCGTCGATTGGTGGATTCCCTGATGTTCCAAATCAAAGACCCAAATTCAGAATTCGCCACAATACCGCAGATTCTTGAACGTTAAGGCAAAATCTGCCCATGGGCTGAGAGTAGGTGGTTATCTGGCTGATGTTCACACTTATGTCGGGCAAAACAATCTTTGTCTTGAAGTGAAGAGAAAATGGTCCGAGAGAGGTTCTCCGAGTCTGTACTTTCATCCTTAAACGTAAGCATCAAATGAAAGGGTCACAGAGCCAACGCTGATTTATCTGCCAAGCTTCCAACAGCAGATCTGAATTGATGTGTGAGTTTCAAGACCCACAGCGAATGTTTCATCATTGTGCTGCTGTTAACGGAACAGAGATCGCAATCAGCCACGTGTCATCTGGCAGTTACTGTGCACAGTGCTATCCGCTCGCTCTCGATTCTCCCCCCAGCCTCACCTCCCCCCGGGGCAGGATACCGAGAGAGGAGTTAAGAACCTACGAATTTGCTGGCGAAAGAAGACCAAGGTCCATCTTGGCAGTCGTTGGACATGTCGTGTCCAAACTATATACTGTATCCAGAGATGTTATTTTCGATAAGAAATTTCTATAATGGCCGCAGACTGGTTTACGGCTCTGCTGGGCTCCGAATGAGTCAGTGAGTGAGTCAGTCAGTCACACAGCGAAACATGACAGAGGAGAAAATGAAAGAAAATCTCTGTGTTCCCAGCAAATAGATAGATAATGAGGTAATCGCCCAGAATGTGAAGAAATAGAAACACAAATAAATAAATAAATAAATGGTTATTAATAACTACAGGGAGCAGCAAGTGTTCAATCTGGCGTGTGTGTATAATAATAGTCAGAGTCTGTCCCGCTCAGTTACACAAATCTCTCCTTCATCTAATACTCTCAGTGAAAAGCATGAGAATGTGGGCGCTTTATCACAACGGCTGTTAAAGCCGAGGCTATGACAGCATTTAACAGGGAATTGGATCAATATTTGCGGAAAAAAATAGTGTTAAAGGGTGCAGGAACACAGCAAGGATTGGGATTAGAGAGCTCCTTGGAAAGCAATCCGCAAACAGCAGCACATTATATTTGTATAACGCCTTTCACATCAGGAGGACGTCCCAAGGCGCTGGACAGTCAGGGTTCCGGACCCGAGCTGAAACCCGGTTTCTTCTTCCCGCTCGGTAAACAGAGGTGTGTGGAGTTTCGGAAACTTGCCTAAGGTTTTGTCCTGCCTTAGAATCGAACCCGGGTCCTCTCGCTTGCTCTTTGCTCTTCCTCCAATACTGTGCAAACGCAGTTCGTAGGCAAGAGACCCGTGGACCTCGGGCGAGAAACATACACGTGTCATGTCCCAAATGATCTATTTTCAACCCGAGACACTATTTCTTACAGGAAATGATATCTGGGGATACGGTAAATAGTTTGGGACATGCCATGTGCAAGATGACTGCCAGGTTGGTGGAAGGTGAACTGGATGGACCTTGGACTCCTTGCGCCCAGCAGATTCTATATGCTCTTATTTTCCCCGTCTCCGAACCAGACATCGAGCCACGATTTTCAATAAGCCACACTCACAACGGTAATGCACTTTTTAATTAACTCTCAATAACAAAATGCTGCTCGGTCCTATCTGCAGCTATATTTTTATTTCCTCTGAAGAACTGATAAAGCCGCTGATAACATACACTCATTACAATTGCTGACAGGCCTCATATTTCATATGTCCTTTATTAAGCTCCTCAGGCACATTTCTCCTAGGATGAATAATTTACTATTGTCTCCCCCCCACCCCCACCTTGTTAAATAAGTTGGCACACCTTTTTTGTTTTCTCCCTGAACCCATAAATATCATGATTCTGGCAAACAATAATTAAATATGTATGAGTTGTTGCTTCATATCTTTTGAAGGTGATAAGGTTGTGAGCACCGACCTTTCCCGGAGATGGCCTTGGACTCTTCGGCGAGAGAGGACAAGGCTGTGTGTTGAGAGCGAGGTGAGACTTCACCCCACGAGGGGAAGCCGCAGGAGTATGGACGACAATCTCACGGCAAACGAGACCCACACTGTCCGGGTTGGGAAATAACCGATGGATAATGATCTTTAAAAGGCACTTTTTTTTNAATCTTCAAAATAAAACCTGGCAGCAGGGGACAGGAAGTGTTGCGGAGTTTCTCTCTCCTGGTGTCCTGGCCGAGAATCCCTCAGGTTAAATTGTTCTTTCACTCAGTGGGACTTTGCTGTGTGCGAATTGGCTGTCGCGTTTACCTACTATTCACTGTTCTTTACAGTAAATCCTGTGAAAAGCTTTGAGATGGCTTCTTGACATGAAAGGTGGCACAAGACGGCAAGGATTTTTTTTTGCCACACACAACGGGTGAGAGACTCAATGGGTGAGGGTGGGAGATGGAGATTTGCTGTTGGTTGAAGAACCAGGCCTCCGTCCCTCGAATAATGCCTTATTGCACGTCAACACTGGATCCACCGCTGATCCGCACAATGCAAACAACTGAAAGTGAGTGTTTCTTCCCCAGTCTCCATTACTGACAGCAACATACAATAAATGACCACCTTTGCTTTTAAGTGAATACCATACATTATCTGCTCGAGACAGAGGAGATAATGTATTTTCTCGGGTCAGAATGTCCTCCTATTCATTCCTATGGTAACCGGAGTAGCGATTAAGGGTAATTTTCTGTGCTGTCCATTCTCTCCATTGTGGGATTGTAATCTGTTCAGCGTTCAGTTTTCAAATAGCGCAGCCAGTGTGAATGTCTGTGAAGGACCTGTGTCATTGTAATAACAGCCTTGGATCATGACAAAGCCACCTCTCAAATCCTCCCTCTACCTGGCCCATCAGATTGATCAAAGGTTTAAATACCACATTGACAGCTAACTTTTGCCAACTTTAATTTCGGAGTTATGAAACCTCAGTCAAAGTTAGTTCTGACGGGGGTTTGAGTGAACTTACAAGAGTAGCAATTCCTCTTGGGTCAAGATTTACTCCATTATTAAACAACAATAATAATAATTTGTGGGGCACTGCTGTGCGCAATTGGCTGCCGTATTTCGCCCACAAAATGTACAATCAGTAAATCACTTTATGGTGTATTCTGTGAAGTGCTTGGAGTCGTCTCGAAGACATGAAAAGTCGCAGTGACAAAATGTAAGAATAAGTATTATTATCATTATTACCTGTACATTTCAGAGCCTCTTTTTTAACAATGGCAGAGAAGTAGCTTCGAAGTTGAGTCTGAATTTTGCCAAATTTTGGTCTCTCAGAAATACTGCGTAAATATAATAATAATCCTTGCATTTGATATAACGGCTTATCGCATCGTCGAGACGTCTCAAAGCCCTCCCCAGGATATACTGTAAAGTGAATTGACTGTATATTTTGTGGGCGAAACGCAGCAGCCAATTGCGCACCGCAGCGTCCCCACAAACAGTCGTGGATTGAGTGACCACATTTTTATTTCTTTATCTTATTTTTGAAGTGTATAATTAATTTTAAGCACATAATTGAGGAAACCTGTATAGATCTGAACATGGTTCGTCCGTGGGCT